CCCTGGGATGGAAGATAGAAGGCAGTGATATAAAGGGCAAAGGGGGAATAATTGAATAGAAAGGGTTAAATGTGGTGGCGAATGGAAGGGCAGAGGATAGAGTATAAGGAAGGAAAACTAACATTAAAGGTTTTCAGAAAAAGACATATGCAAACCTACCACTATATAAGCTTCTTAAAGTTCATACATACATATTATTAAAAGGTATATAAAGGAGTTACCTTATAACAGGGGGATATTCCCCTTATTAGACACCATATACTAGCCAAGTAAAAGCCCAGTACCAGGAATGGACTCCCTCTTTTAAAGATGTTGACCAGGGTCTTATAGACCCTCAAACATTACTAGCCATCGCCCCTGCTCTTGGTGTCCCACCAGAACTTGATGGTAACATCTTATTGCTGAAGACAATATATAAGCTGTAGAACAAACAAGGAAAAATCAAGCTGCTGCTGATTCCAGCACCTCATCTCTACTGGCTAGCCTTCATAGTGCTGGAAGGTGCTATGAAGAGAAAAACTAATCATCAACTTTACCCAGCTGTGACTCTTGTAAGCTACAACAACAACTGGCCTGGCAATATATGCCCACCAGTGCAATAGTGGCACAAATATTATGGAGTAACCAACTACATTCTAATTGGATTCAAGGTCCATTTCAAAGGATTAGAACTCATGCTGACATTTATATCAGGCCTAGGAACCTGAGGCTAGACAGAGCACAGGGCACAGAGGAGAACCTAAACTATTATTCTGCTAAATAAATATAATATTAAACTGACTCCTGACTTCCTGTTATACCTGTAGATTAATACATCTCTCAACTCTCAGCACAGAAGTTTCTTTATGCAGCAGTTGGTGATTAACACAGAATCACAAGTGGCCAACATACAGAGAATAAAAGGCTACAGAGTGCTTATCCCCCAATAGGACACCTATATTAAACTTTAGACTCCCAAGGCTCAGTGATCATTGTGGAAGAGGAGGTGAAAAGATTGTAAGAGCCAGAGTTGGTGAATGACCACAAGGAAACAAAGTTTTCCAAATAGCTGGTCAGTTACTCATATGAATTCCCAGCAATGATGACAGCATGCACAAGTCCCACATTAGCTTAAGCCAGACAAAATTCCAGCAGAGATGTGGAAAAGTGGGTAAGAAACACCAATTTTATCTGAGGAAGTATTGGCAACAAATGGCTTCTGGTAGGGGAAGAGACAATCTCGTTTAAGGGTGGGACTCGGAGGGTTGATCAGGCTCCAGTAGATGAACCTACATTAAGGGCATTTGGGGACACACGAAATTTTTTAACACAAGAGATAATTATACCATTTAGGGTATACTTACAGTCCTTAAAAAGAGTCAAAGCAGGTGTTGGAGAGATGGTTCCATGGTAAAGAACACTGGCTGCTCTTGCACATGTCACCTGGGAGCACTCTATTCTTAAGGTTATCTTCTTGGCTCTTAAGATCATTCCTCAGTTTATTGTAAACTCCATCTTAGGGTTTCTTTGTAGTTCTGTTTTCCCCCCCCTTTAGGCATCTACTTCCCTTTTAAATTTTTCTCTTTCATAACTCAACTTTTTTCAAGTTATTGATAAAAAAAAAGTGAGATACTGATTTCCAGGATAATTCTGACATCTGATGAAAACTTTCTGGTATATTTTCAGACTGTGAGTAAATCACAAAGCTTTCAGGAGTTTCTGGTATCCTCAAACTGAAATAGTGAACTCCAAAGACAATTCTCAGTGAGCAGAAAGTTGCTCTTCAGTCTCTTCTGTGATTTGTAAGATTCAGTGAACTATGTCATATTGGAAATTTTACTTAAAAATTCGTGGCCTGGAGAAATGGCTTAGTCAGTAAGGTGCTTGTTGTATAAGCATGAAGACCTGAGTTCAATCCCGTAGACCCACAGAGGAAAAGCCTTGTGCTTACATGCCTGTCATCCCAGTGCTGGGGAAGTGGGGACAGGTGGAACCCTGAAGCTTGCTGGCCAGTCAGTCTAGCTGTCTCAGTGAGTTCCAAGTTCAGTGAGAGACCCTATCACAAAAATAAATAATAAATAAATAATAAATAAATAAATAAATAAATAAATGAGATGCAAAGCAGCTGGAGAGATCCCTGGCATCAACCTCTGACCTTCACATATGTGCATACATATGTGCACCCACACACACAAACACAGAGACAGAAACAGAGAGAAAGATACAGAGACAGGGAGACAGAAATAGAGAGACACAAATAAGAGAGTTTTTGCTTTGTGGTTTTAGTTTGAGGAAGAAAATGGTCTCTACCCAAGTTTTCTTCATACTTACTGAATATGCCATCATTTCTAGCTCTTCTTCACCAATGTGACTTCTATACATTCTTTACTTACCTAAATTTTTTGCTTCCCACTTCAGATTAAAAAGATCAGCCAATATATTCTTCATTCATGTTGGTGATGGTAACCTCAATCAATAAACGAACCAACACTTTGGATAAAAATCACTGGCCTCCTATTATGGTACACATCTTTAATCCCAGCACTTGGGAGGCAGAGGCAGTTGGATCTCTGTGAGCTCAAGGCTAACTTGGTCTACATACAGAGTTCTAGGCCAGCCAGAGCTGCCTAGAGAGACCCTGTCTCAAAAAAAAAATCTCAGTTGCTTCCATAGAAAATGCTCAATGCCCATGTTTACTTTCCTCTAATGTCTTTTACTTCAATTTCTAACTATTCTGTAAAAGTTCTTATATTTTGTAGGTTCTTCCTTTTCATCGAATGAAAAATCAAACTTAACCACTATATAGAACATCTACACATTGGAACATTGAGTAGCTCTCAGTTCCAGTATGGAACACTGAAAACACAAAAGTAGTAAGATGTAAAACACACATACATACATACACACACACACACACACACACACACACACACGTGGGCGCATGCGCTCTGTAATAGTGGCACGAAGGAACAAACACAAAGAGGAGAAATCAGAAAGAAGGGGGTAGGAGAGAGCTGAGTGGAAAAAGGAAAAACAGAGTAGAGAGAAGACCCTACTTCAAAGAGTCAACTGTTGTCTTCAAGTTCATAGATGCTGCCTCAGGGACACAGCCACAGCTCTGGACAGCTTGTCACTAGATTAACATAGCAGCATTTCATCTACTTTTTTTAATTCTTAAGACAGGGTCTCACTAAATAGCTCTTGGCTAGTCTGCAACTCACTTTGTAGATCAGGCTTGCTTCAAACTCACAGAGATCTACCTGCTTCTACCTCCTGAGTGCAGGAATTAAAAATATGCACCATCACTCCCAGCTACGTCTCATTCAAGGCTAGACACCTGGTAGGTTGCCCAGACTCCAAGGATAGACCCATACCCAAGAGCATTTGGGGAACACAAATTAGACTCGATAGACCTTTAAAAAAAGAAAAATAATAAAAAAGGACGTGAAGTAGGGGGCAGTAGGGTGAAGGTGGAGATGTGGGGGGACAACTTAATATGATCAAAATACTGTATGAAATTCTCAAAGAATCAATAAAAATGTTTTCAATCAAAATGGTAAGCATTTATAAATGTAAGTCATTCCTTCCTTTATCCTAAACACAGTTTTGAAGTTCTAAGATACGGAGAACAAGGGCTAATTTGACAAATGAATGGCAAGGTAGGAGCAGGAGCAGCCGTCCTGAAACAGTTTTGTTTCCCCCTCTACATTTACATCAGTGGCTTCAAGTGAAGGTTTTTTCAGTCTGCTCTATTGTTCTTTTGCCATTTTACCTCTGAGGGAAATGAGCTTTTTTCTGATTGCCTAGATGATCCTATAAAATCTCCAGCATATTAATAGCTGCCCATCTGGACACAGTGCACTTACAGAATGGCAAAGTTCATGACACGTGAGAGAGACAGAGGGACAGAAAGAGACAGAGAGAAAGAACATGATCAGTGAAGGACAAAAAGTAGTAAGCATGCTTTTAAATTATTTTCTAGTGCTTTAATGAGGGATATATTTGTGTTTTAAGATTATTGGCATCTTATAGTATACATAAAAACATTGGGAAAACATAAACTAGCACAGTTTCTTTATCAAACCACAGAGAAGATGATGCCAAAAAGTCTTCAGACAAAGTCAAAAGTAAACATTTGGGGGCTTGAGAGATGGCTCAGCAGTTAAGAACACTGGCTGTTCTTGCAGAAGACTTGGGTTCGAATCCCAGCACCCACATGGCAGCTAACAACTGTTCGTAACTCCAGTCCCAGGGGATCTGACAGCCTCTTCTGACCTCCATGGGTGTTGCAGGACACAGGTGCACTTACCAACATGAAGACAATACATGCATACACATAAAATAAAAATAATGAATAAATTTTTTTAAGAAGTAAACACGATGAGTTTTGTTGCACAACTGTGTAATTTCGTTTACCTTTGCAACCTAGATGCAATATACAGCAGTGAAATGACACAGAAGGTCTTACACAGTGCACATTGCCAGCTCCGGTCTTTTTCTCTGTTACCTAATAAACAAGATTCTGCAGGACATCTCTTGCTGTGGAACCTACTTATCTCCATGGAGGAAACACAACAAATAGAAGCTTGGGAGCGATGCTCGAGTAGAACACATCATTATTCTTCGCTCTTGAATTTCTGTGCTCTGCTCTCCTATTGTCCCCTTCTCACCACCTCAATTTATCACTAGGTGTTTAGAGTATTAAATACATGCAATAGATGAAAAAGAGGGATCAATTTAGGGCCTTGTAATTGCATGCACATAGAAATATTCACAGATGTGATGAAGTCTCAGAACTGCCCACGGGTATTACCTTGATTCAAAGAATGGTAAATACTTTCTGCATGGGTCTCAGTGTCACCACAAATAGGGGTCTGACCCCAACCCTGACTCTCCACGGCTATTGCTGTGCATATGAGAGTTTCCCAAACCCACTGTACAGCAAAGCAACAAGCAAACTTCCCCGGGGTTTTAAGGGATTATTTGTTATTTATTTAAAATGCACAAGCTTTTAAACTTACCCCGATAGCTGCTAAGATTGGAGCTTGGTAAATCCATCTGTCTCCGTCACTAAGTTCCCAGCATCTGAGACACACAAAAAAGAGCTTTAATGATAAATCTGACCAAGTAAATAATGAAAATTAAAATGGCATTTTAAATTTTACCAAAAATCTCTTGCCCTACCTACTGATTAAGAAATAAATACATGAAAAAAAACATTCTTATTCTGAAGCATCCAGACCAGTGAAACACATCATGTGTCCTCATTTCCTTACTTAGGGACCCATTATGTAAATGAAGTGTTATAAAATGTTGCTGAGTTGCTTTTCTAGTAATCAGAGTCAAACCTTGTTTCTATAGCCACACACATGCAAAAATAGTCATCTAAATGTGGTGCAATTGTACCTTGCTTTTATCAGCGTCAAAATGAGACACAGTGATTAAAAGTTGTTGACAAAAAGTCTATTTCTGAAGTTAAAGCAATTTTATTTCATGTCATTCTTTTTTATTTGTTTTTTTTTTTTTTTCTTTTTTAAGACAGGGTCTCCCTGCAGCCCTGGCTGGTCTGGAACTCACTATGTAGATTGGCCTGGACTCAATCTCACAGAGATCCGCCTGCCTCCTCCTCCTGAGTGCTGGCATTAAAGGTGTGCACCACCATGCCTGGCCCTTCATAAGTCATTCTTCGGGATAGAAATATAACGGAAAATTGGCCACAAATCATTAGCTGTCTCCAATGAAATGTAACTCACTATTGTCCTATTGGATATACTTGCATTTGTTTCTAAATCTTCAGTATTAAATTTCCTGAATATAAATAGGTGGCCTATTGATATCTCTTTTGAGCCAATTTAGCATCTTACTGATTCTACATTAAGGAGGTAAAAAAAATAAGCTGTTCATTTCATATTTTTATGAGTCATGATTTTATCTTTAATTTTTTAAGTTTATTTTTAACAGTATTAATTTAAAAACCTCAAAATTTAGCCTTTTGTCCCTAACTAGAATTTAAGTACTTTATGAGTAAAGATCTCTGTATGCATGCATGGTGCGTGTGTATGTGCGCATGCACTATGAAGAATTCTAAGTGCCTAGAACAATATATAGTATGTAGCAGCAATAAATATTTGCTGGATTGAACTGATATAAATTGAATCCAAAATAAGTTTGACTCAACCTCATTCAATCTGGTTAATTCTGGTAAAAGTAAAGGTCTTACAGAGAATAAATAGCACAGAATTGATATTTTAAAAAATTGATTCTATGGGGCTAGAAAGATGGCTCAGTGATTAAGAGCACTGGCTGCTCTTGCAGAGGACCCAAGAGTTCATTTTCTCAGCACCTACATGCAGCTAACAACCTTGTATAATAGTTCCAGGGGCTCTGGCGGCCTCTTCTGGTCTCGGTAGGCATTGCATGACATGGGTGCACTTACATATAGTCAGGCAATACACACATATGCATTAAATAAAAATAATAAAATATTAAAAAATATTCCTACTTGGAAATTTAAAGTAACACTTGAGGCAATTGTTATCAACTTAAAGTCACATAAATAAAAGGCTTCCATTTCTTTCTACTTAAACAAAACTCAGTATTGACTATACCAATAGCAAATGACCTAAAGAAATTTTGGAGATATAATGATGTTATTAAATTCTAGACAATAAGTTTACCAAGAAATTACATTTTATAAGCAAACAACGTATAAACAATGAAATGTCATTTCAACTATTTTTTAAAAGTAAAACATTTTTAGTGCATATCTAACAGCTATGTATTTTTAAAGTTTATTTTCTCATGCAAGTAATATATTCTCATTTCAAAAATCACAACACTGGAGAAGACACTGAACTCTTCAGCCTCCCCTTGTCACCATCCACCTTTCCCCCAAGCCCCTCCTCATAGACAATATCTCTTATTACCTTGTTATATGTGCTTATAGAGCTTATGCATATTCAAACACAAATGTCATATTCTTATTTTCCCATATTGTGTACTTTAGATCTTAAATTAACCCCCAAAGGTTCCCAGCTCATGGAATTATTGGAGGATGGTGGGATCCCTATGAGGTGGGGCCTAGAACAAGGAAGCTGGGCCATTAGGACAATGCAATTGAAGGCGATATTGGAATCCTTGTCCCTCCTTTCTTTTTGATTCCCAGATACCAGGAGGTAAACAGACCTTCTCCCACAGGCTCTCACTATGTTGAACTCTGCTATAATAGGCCCAAAACAGCAATGCCAAATAATCAGGGACCAAAACCTCCGATAGTCAAAATAAACCTCCTTTTAACGTGATTGTCTCTGGTATCTTGTCACAGTGAAAGAAAGCTGATTGTGAGTGTTAATATTGATTGTCAATTTGTCAAGATCTACAATCACCTAGGCAACAAACCTCCAGGTATGTCTGTGAGCTTCTCAATTAGGTGATTGATTTGGAAAGATCCACCCGCAGTGTGGGCCGCATCACTAAAAGGAGAACGCAGGCAGAGCACAAGCATTCATTGCTCTCTGCTTCCTGACTGCAGGTGCAGTATGACCAGCTGCCTCATGCCCAGCCTCCATGACTCCATGTCATAGCAGAGATGCTATGACAGACTGTACCCTCAAACTGTGAGCCAAAATAAATCCTTAGTAAGTTCCTTTTGTCAGGTATGTTGTCACAGCAACAATAAAAGGAACCAATACACTGACTAACACTTCACAGAAAAAAAATGTAATGTGTATGCTGCTGTGCAATTTTATTTTCCTTTTAAGTATAAATACATACATACATACATACATACATACATACATATGTACATACATAGATTTCCATGTTAGAACCAAGAAAGATCAGTCACATAGCATTCTATTGCAAGGCTGTACCAAAGAAACCAACCAGACTCCTACACCAAACTATTCTGGTCCAGCCCGGCTAAAATCTGCATAGTCAATGAACTTGAAATCTCAATAACATGGATTCTAAGACACAGAATGTTTACACTTGCACATTATTGAACACTTCCAGTATTATGTATGTACAGGCATCTACTTTCATACTATTCTGTAGATAAGAAAGATTAAAATTGCTACTGAAACATGCAGAATATGTATCACACGTCCCTCAAAAGCATTTCCTACAATAAAAGTCTCCGATGTGTTAGGTGAATATAAGCTGGACATTTATTTACTATCTACAAGGCTTTTGGATTCCATACATTTTCATTTCACTTTTTCGCATTTGATAACATATAACATCTTCACAGTGTTCTTTCCTTGTGTCAGTGACATTTCATCATGTACTGGGATTCAATCATGCAATTTTAGCTCTACAAAATAATCATATTTGGAAGTAGGTCAAAATCAGCTACATCTAAATATATTTTTTAAAAATTGACTTTGGTAGGTTAGGGTGTCAGAATTTCAAATTTGCTCTTTGATATAATAAGAGAGGCAAATGAGATTTCAGACTTTTCAAAGGAAAAGCTATGAATCCTTATTTTAAATTAATTTTTCAATGCCCCAGATCACACACAGCCCAGGAGGTGCCTTCTGTTCAGATGCCTTTAAGTAAATTTTAACATTCTTGGAAATGCACTTCTAAAAGGTGGGGTATCGGGTACAAAGTTCTAAATAGAAAGCAATAATTTCCTTTAATGCTGGAAACCTGTACCATTCTGCCAGAGGGATTTTACATACACCTACGTGCATATGGACAGCACTAACTGGACTCTCTCTCTCTCTCTCTTTCTCTCTGTCTGTCTCTCTCTCTCTCTCACACACACACATGCACACATATACACATACACACGCAGACTCAGTAACAGAGAAGGCAAGAGGTACTGGTCTCTGAGAGTTCATGCAAGTAAGTCCTGGGAATGTTCAAGGACATCTCTTCACACCCTTTTCCACTGAAGTTCCCACCTTCCTTTCCAAATGGTAAAAATGAAGTTTACCAAAGAGATTACAGTTTCCCCACAGAGTGGCATCTCTTAGCTCCTTTGAATGAGGCAAGGAGAAAATAATAAGATGTTGTTCTAGTTTTATTTCTGTTGGTGCAATAAAAAAGCAACTTAACTGAGTAAAGGACTTATTTGGCATACAACATCAAGTTACTGTCCATCGCTGAAGGGACTCCAAGGCAGGAACTTCGCATCCACAGTCAAGAGCAGAGAGGAACAAATAAACTCATGCTGACTGCCTTTTTGCTAAATACTCAACTAGCTTTCCCCTGTCTATATAGTACAGGACCCCCTGCCTAAGGAATGATACCACCCATGCTGTGCTGAGTCTTCCTGTATCAATAAAGACAAGACAGTCACCCAAAGACATAGACACAGACCAACCTGAAAACTCCTCAATTAAGGCTTGTGGGAACAACTTTTTCTGGGAAAGACTCTATGTAACAAGCCTTCATAAAATGAAAATTTACATAACTTTGTAAACTAAATTAATCATGTGTTTTGAGAACATTTAGAACTATGTACTCCTAAGAAAAACTATAATCAGTCTTAAATGATTTGGAATCCCAATGTAATTTACTCTTACAAACTAAGCTGATTGAATAGCTTTAATCATCTACCGTGTTCCCTATTTGTGACTCAGTCATGCTCCTGACTCAAAACAATGTATACATGGGTGAGATATGACAGCAGTGACATTGAAAACAATGTCTCACCCACAAACACTGAAAGTAACATGGGGACACAGGTTGATGAGATCTGTTTGTGACCATGTGTGCTGTTCTGAGTCAGGAGGGGCAGAAAAACAACTTCCTTTGTAAAACTGTTATCAAAGATTGTTCACACTTGGGGGTCAAAAGATGGCTCAGTGGTTAAGAGCGCTGGGTGCACTTATAGAGGACCTGGGTTTCATTACTAGCATCCACGTGGTGGTTAACAACCATGTGGAATTCCGATTCCAAGGGATCCGATGCCCTCTTCTGGCCCCATGTGCATGTAATTCATGCAGGCAAAACACTCACACATGTAAAATAAAAATTTTTAAAGACTGTTCATGACTTTCCTGATATGCTGTTCAATAAATACAAGAAAAGCCCTTTGTTAGAGAATAGTATACAATACAATACACTACAGTAGAATAGAATACAATAGATAAGAATAAAATAGACACAGTTCTGAGAGAAATCAGAACACCTCAGAACAAGATCAGGCCCATTCTTGGTCAAACTACTCCAAGAGTGAAGATCTTCATTAATGGGGTACCTGCCTCATTCAAGCTGATATTTAAAAACAATCATCAAAAGTGTCTTATAAGATGTTGCTGTTTTGTAAGTAAATATAAAAAGAAACAAAAATTACTCACTTTGCAATTGTACTTGTTTAACACTATTTCATTATCTCAGCCTCCCTTAGTGTGATAGTGTGATAACACTATTGATAGGATCTTGGGACTGGAAAAGACTTTCTGCATGTTTCCAATAGAGTTTTGGGTATCTTTTGAAAGTGGATCTGGTTTTCCTATTTCTAAATAGCCAAAATGCAGGAAAAAAAATCCAAGAGCTTTTAAAAAGGCCAGCTCAGAGTTTGGGGTATATCTGAGTATAGAGTGCTATCCTAATAATAAGTCCCTGGGTTCAAGGCTCAGCTTCAACACACACACACACACACACACACACACACACACAAATGGCCAACTCAGAACTTGAGTCTGAAATGTTAAGAATGATGGATATGGACCCCATCCTTCCTTTGCAAATACATAAGTCTGCTCTTTTCACTTGAGCTTCATAATGTGACACTATATGTACGTTATATTCCACCCAAAAGAACTATAAGAATTTCCAGCCTATTAAAAGATAGAATATCATAAGAGATTGAATCATGCAGTTTTTAAACCATACCATATAAGTTGCAATAAAGTATAATGTTTTATTCAGTCAAATATAAAATAGCCCTCTCAGATTAGGACACTTGCAGAATTCAAGATTTTATACTAAGGCAGGAGAAAAGTGAAATATTTTACACAGTAGATTTTCATAATCTAACACATTTAATATTTTATATTATGTTAGAGCAATATTTAGTGATAGCCGTATTTTTCAATGTATTATGTGCACAATGGATTCTTTGCCTTATAAAGTATAAATTTTGGGCCATCAAGATGACTTAAGATATAAAAGCACTTGTTGCTCAAGCCTGATGACCTGAGTTTAATCTTGGAACCCACATAAAAAGCCAGATGTACTGGATCACGCCTATAGTCTCCACACTCCTATGACAAGATGCAAGGCAGAGACAGAAGAGTCAGCCAGAAGTTCATACATATAGAACAAAAACAAGAGAGATCCTGCTTGAAAACAAGGTGGAAAGAGAAAAACCTGACTCCTGAAGAGTTGTACTCTGCCCTCCACTAGCACAGCGTGGCATACACACACACACACACACACACACACACACACACACACACACAAATAACTAAATAAATCTTTAAAATTAAATTTATATCTCTTAAGTTTTCAGTGAAAAGACTTATCAATGTTAATGTTTTAAGATTTAGTTCATAATCTTTTTTAGATTTTTTTTAATTTATGTTATATATGTATGACTATTTTGCCTGCATGTAAGTGCACCCATGCATGCAATGCTCACAGAAGCCAAAAGGCAGCATTAGATCCCCTGGAACTAGAGTTATGGGTAGTTGTTACCAGACATGTGGATACGGGGAATGGAACCCAGGTCCTCTGAAAGAGCAGCCAATGCTCTTAACCACTGAGCCATTTCTCCAGTCCCTAGTTCATAATCTTAAAGAAAAATAATGAGATAACTCAAAAAAGCAAATTATCAAATTCAGTATGAATGCATTATGCATATACTTGCTTTCTTTCCTGAGCTCAAGGCACACAATACATGTTAAATGAACAATAAGTGAGTCAAAATTTGACTCCAGCCTGGCTGTAAGCCTTGGGAATGTGTCCTGATATTTCTGGATCTCACTTTAGAAAGAAAAGATTGAACCAGAAAAAGCCTGGGGTCCTACCATCTCTAAAACTCTGAAACTGGGGGACACACCTACACTGTGACATTAATTACTGCCTACTTTATAGCCTCCTACCCCTGGAAATGCAATCACAGATGCTGTAAGTTTTCTTTGAGATGCTTAACATCACATTGTATATATAGCAATAATGATGATGTGCACAGCATTAACCCAGTGTATCAACTCTTAACAATCATAAAAAATCCACCTAAAAGGGTTTTAAAAGCAAGTATAAAATGCAAATTAAATGAGGACTTAGAACTGAGAGAAGCTGGCACAGGGGAATCTCTGAGGGAAGCAGTCTGGAGACCACACCTAAAGACAATGACTCTGGACCATCCAAAATTTTGGTAGGCTCTTAGAGTTAGGCAGTCATGCAGCATAACTTTTGTTTCAATGCCTAGCAGATAATGTAATTTCTGAACAAAATATCTAACAATTCAAAACAAACATACTGTCTAAAATTGAAGAAAAGATCCAAGGGGAGCTAGCAAAGAGAAATATGAATTGCTTTTGTGAAATGCATACAGTGTTCACAACCAAGAGATGCTAAATTGCACTTTGTTAACAGTTTGTGTTCTTAGAAGTTAAGAAAATATAAAGGAAGGATGAAATCCCTATTTTGCATTATATATTGGGAAGTGATGAGTAAGTAGATCACATGTATGATAAACACAGATTCTAAAAGATTCATGAGACAACTGAGCAGGAACCATTATGGTAGGCCAAAGAGACAAGAGACAAAATATCCCTGCTACACAGGAAGTGCTCAGTATTCCTCAGGTATTAATTCAGCCATTGTTTCATGAAATCCATTCTATATCCACTGCCTAAGGAACTATAATAAATCCCAGAGTTACTCAGCAGATAATTAGGAACAGGCAGCTATAACAAGCGAACTTGCTCCCATGTCTGTCTGAAACAGAACCTTCTGCCTATGGATCCCCTTGCTGCACCCTCTCTTACCTCTACACCTTTAGTAGGGGAGGTCCATGTGGCAGAGAAAGAGACAGAGAGTGTGAGCATTGCCTACTCCTGAACACCATCAATGTGATCCCTCCACCTGCTCACAACATATCCTAAGTTTTATACCCTTACTGATCTTGTCCCTTTTCACAGTATTTTTAATTGATTACATAAGCCCATGGACTTCAAACTCTTAATCTTCTCTGTGATCCTTTCTGTCCTATGATGTGGGGGCTCAACAGCTTGCTTTACATATGCATGGGTAAAGCACTGGAGGCTACCAGTGTGTCCAAGAAACTTCTACGTAGCTTCCCTAAGGGACAGCAGCATCAAGAGCAGCCAGTGTGTGTTCCAAGCAGGAATCCTGAGTCAACAGAAACCCTGAGGCTCTCTGTTACCCCCAGACCCCGACGCCCAACCCCCTGCTTTGTTTTCTACTTACCTGGTATCAGACAAAGTGGCTCGTGCCACTGCCCAGGCCACAACAAATGCCACTGGAAATCCTGCAACCATAAAAGGATTGGAAATGATATTTACTTTTGGATCAAGGTTTTTTGTTTCTTGTGTGAATATAACATTTGCAGTTGAAAGGGAAAAACAGACATACAAAAATTATTGATGTGAATAACTGTATACAATTTCATCTTGTCAATTTGAGATGTGATGAGAGCACAGGGGACAAATTACTCCTGAAAGTCTGAAGATGGAGGTTTCATTGCAGAGATGTAGGGTGAAACCACAGTTGGAGAGAACTGAAATTTCCAGAGCCAGAAACTGGCAATAGGTGGTATGTTCTGGCTTTTGCCAAATAGACACATGCTTTCAAAGAGTGAGGCAAGGACAGAAAAAAGCAGGGCAAAGCTGTGTTCTTAAAAGCATTGCTGGAGCCAGGCATGGTGGCACACACCTTTAATCCCAGCACTTGGGAAGCAGAGACAGACAGATCTCTGTGAGTTCAAGGCCAGCCTGGTCTACATAGTAGTTCCAGGACAGCTGGGACTACAGGGAGACCCTGCCTCAAAAAAAAAAATTGATGGAAGGGGAGGAGGGAGGGACATGTAGGGGGCCATAGTGGTGGCAGAGAAGGGAACTCAGGAGAAGGGGGATGGCGGGAAGTGGGTGTTATTAGGAGGATGATGGGGATAATTGGGGTGCTTGGACTGCAGAGGGAAGAGGGAGGTCAGATGGTGGGGTAGAGAGAAGAGGTGAATGGATCTTGGGGGACTAGGGAAGCCAGAGGGAAATGTGTTGGCTCTGGAACCCCCTGAGAAATGCATATATGGTGTCTGAACATTAGTGCATATGTATAACTGGGGGGTGTATGGCAAGGAACACAGTGTCAGACAGGAAAGACCTCCCTTCAAGTGGTTGGTCAGAGTAGTCCAAAAGACTCCCAAAATAACACAGGCTATTGCCAGGCTCTTCCAGAACTTGAAGATAAGACCCTACTCCTGAAGACAGGATATACTTTGGACAAAGGACTTGGAGCAATGGAACAAGAACGGACCTGGAAGCGTTCTATGCATAGGTTAGCTCTCATAGTTCTAGAGAATACTATGCAAGCTGCTAGGGCAGAAAATCAATCAATGGTCCAATCCAGCCCTAAAACCTAATAACCCAAATGGGTGTCACAGCAAACTACTTCTATTGGTGCAGTAGTGGCACTGTTATCTGGGGGGCAACCAACAGCTATCTAATTGGACCTAAAGCCTTCTCAATGGGAGTAAACTCATGGGCTGCACTATGAAAACAGTCAACTACTACACATGGCTGGAGAGGTCATAGACCTAGAGAAAATCCTATTTCTGTTATATCTCTAGACAAATGAAATTTCTTACCATATGTTCAATATGGATCCTTATATTTACAGATAAGTATATCGTATACCACTCATCAAAAAAGCTTCTGTTTGCAACAGATAGAGGTTACTGCAGAGTTCCACAACTGGTCACACACAGAAAATATACATCTGAGAGATGCCCAGTCCTAGGTGACATATCTACAGTGGAACCTCTACACCTAAGACTTATGGAACATAGTAGAATGGGGTAGAGAGAAAACTAGTGCATCCTTCAACACTTATCAGTGAAACTTCCTTATACAACAGAGTGTGATACTCACATAAGGCCACAACTGGCCAAGTTTTACAGAATAAGAGACTGCAGAGGGCATGCCCCTGGAATGGACTCCTATATTGAACCTCACACACCCACGGCTCAGGGACCATTGCAGAAGAGGAGGTGGAAAGACTGTAAGAGCCAGGGTTGGCCCATTAACATAGAAAAGCAGAGGTTTTCAGGTCACTGGAAGCTTGCACATATGAACTTGCGGTAATGATGGCATTGAGCACAAGACCCATGTCAACTCAATCAGACAAGGGCCCAGAGTGGAGCGAGGGAAAAGGGTGGTGAGCTGGCCCTAGTCTGGGGACTGTTGGAGAGTGATTACTACTGGGTGACGGAGAGTAGATCTTACTTACCATCCCTTGATAGGTTGACTAGACTCCCATGGATGAATTTGCACCAAAGGACTTCTGGGTACAAATGCTTAACCAGATAGGACTTAACATGTATGGCGGAACACATGAGGTCGGGTGAGGGGTTGGAGGGCATGGATGGGGGAGGGGGAATCTAACTTTGATTAAGAACTGTTGTATGAAATGTACAAAAGCACAATAAAAAAAATTTTAAGGATGGATTCTCATAATAAGAGCTCAGGAATGAGTGAAATCAACAATTAATTTTAATAACATTTCACAAACACAAGGAAAAACAACAACAAAAAAAAAACATTAGAATTGTTTACATTCTAATGCCAGGCGTGGTGGTGCAAGCCTTTGATCCCAGCCCTCAGGAGGCAGAGGCAGAATGGAAGGAGAGGCTAGCCAACAGGTTCTAAAAGGCTTGACTTCTCTTTAGCTTCTTCCTTTTCTTGATAGCTCTGTCTCCAAACAGAAGCATCGCCTGCATTCATTGTTTAGCAAAGGGCAACTGCTATGACCGCTTGATGATCTGTGCATGTGATATTCTACCTTCACAAAGAAACACCTTGCAATATTAAATCTATTATATCAAATTTGAATGAGTCCTTTGCTCCATTAAAAGCTGAATGCTCAAGTGGTGCTGTAGGTGATTAGACTGTCACAACACAGAAAAAAATCTTAAGCCAGAACTTTTATGCAAAGCTGCAATAGAAGACCGGAAGGTTAAATGAGTGACACTTATGAAAGTGATTTTAATAAAGGAAATACGGAGACCATAATTAAAACACTACCAAATTTAGGAAGCACATAACAAAGAAACATTTTCATCTAGTTTAGAACACTTCTGTCAAGCACAGTATTAAATTCTTTAACTTTAGAAGACACATTTGTAGTTTTTCTGTATTTAGTAAACTCGAAGAAGGAAAAGGCTGGAAATAAGGTATTACTCAGAGTAAATTGCACCTCGGCCTACCTACCACTGAATTTTATGGCGGTATAGTGCATTCTAATTTTTATTGCGTGCTACTCAATCTTTTCAAGTTGTTTATTTTATTAATTTTACCTATTTGGCTCTCATTATTACTTAGGTTTAACTTACACATCTCTCTTTCTACCTATTTATTTTCCTACCCATCCATCCAAGCAGTTATCTATTAAGTTTCCATTAAGGAAACTGTCAAACACTTCTACTCCCACAAACTAAAGCAATGAAGACAGTGTTTCTGCTTTCTTAAAACATGTAATCTGGGAAGAGCGGCAAAATTAATAAAGAAACTTCAGTTATCAATTGGAGAAGCATGACATTCTCTCTCTCTCTCTCTCTCTCTCTCTCTCCCTCCCCCTCATTCCCTCCCCTGCCCCAGCCCCTGAGACAGGGTCTCACTCACTCGAGACTGGCTAGTGCTTCTGAGTGGATGGTTGAAAAGGCCTCATATAGATCTCTTTATTTACAGTTCTTTGTCTTGGCTATTGCTAAAGTGTGTGTCTATTTGATCAACATTTCCATAGCTTTTTCAGATCTGTCTCATCTGCTTCCTTTACATTCTCCTAATCGGGCACTTTCCTAAATAACACTCTATGTGGTGTTGATTGATCCTGCTCACAATGGCACTTTTCTGAATAATATTCTGTATGATGCTGATTGGTCCTGCTCAAGGTGGCACTGATTATATTTATATGATTATATTTCTTTGCTCATCCTCTTAGCAGACTGATATTCACAAGACTAGTACAGAGAAGCAAAATCAGCACTCACTAAGAATTGTTTTAAATCACAGATCTTAGCACCACATTATTATATAATTTAGAATATATAAAAAGGAGAAAAAATAGTTTAAATTTAAATATTATTTTTAATTGCATGGTTAATTGAAATGAAGATAACGTAAATTTGTTGTCTAATATAGGTATTTACTAAAACTTGAGTTGTTTTCACAAGACATACTAGTATAAGCTTTGTGAAGATCAAGTTTTATAAATTAAAGGTTTTAATATACATATGATCAGAGCAGTCAAACAGAATAACAAAATAACCTCAAGTGTCAGACTGCATACTTCTCATGTGGGGTCTGCTATGGTTTGGCTGAGGTTTGCCCCCAAAGGTTCATATACTAGAACTTTGGTTCCAGAGTGTCTGTGTTAACAGAGGAAGTGGATGGTGGTTTAGTCACCGTGACAGCATGCTCAGAAAGGATTGATGCCCATCTTATGAGAGTGGGTTAGGTCATGGTGCTGAATGGTTGCTGAGAATTACTGAGAAAATAGGTGTTATAAAGTGACTTTGGCATGTTTCTCTCCTCTCTCTCTCTCTCTCTCTCTCTCTCTCTCTCTCTCTCTCTCTCTCTCTCTCATCTCTTCTACACAACATGCATTCTGCCAAGTAATGCCACCTGCTGTAAAACCTGTACCAGAAGTCCATGCTCTCAGACCTCCAGAACTGTTAGCTAAACGAACTTTTTTTACAAACCATCTAGCTTCAGCTACATTGTTATAGAAACATGCAATGGACTAAGATAGGGATATTAACAAATATCTCTGTATTTAAACTCTGTTTACTATCAAATGATTGATCAAAAAATACTTGCTGGACTGAGATCGCTTTATATACAGGTAACACAATGAAGCATTGTACCTTCTGTTGAGTTTCAAAAACCAAATGAGATGAAATTTTTTCTGCATGAAAACATGTTTCCATGACCACATGGATAAAATTACCAGGATAAGAACTTTATATGATAATAAGCAGACATTGGTATCTCTTGTCACAGCAAAGATTTGGGGTAGAAAGGTTAAGTACTATATTCAATAATGATGAAAACTAAACTGAAACTTTTAAAATACAAAATCAAAATACAGAAAAATATGTAAATGAAGGGATAAATAGAAGCAAGTGTAAACTATTGTTTGTGGGAGAACTGAGGCAAGAATGGAGGAAATTCAGGACGTGTTGGTTGAAAGCAAAAAGGCTCATTATTTGCCTTTGGTCCCCTCTGCATTCCTTTGGATTAAAAGATGTATAAAAACAGTCATTTTAAATATTTGTCTTTAATTTAGTAAAGGTCAGATGTGCCCCTGTTCCTCTTCAGATTGTAACTTTCCTTCAATGTATTGTGAGGACTCATTAGATTCAGTGTGAATAATGTGACTAAACATGAGAAATAGATTTCTGAGTATTTTTCTAGCCAAAGAGAATTTAAAGCTATAATTGGCACAAATGAGCAATAAAAGAAACCAACCAAGTTTCCTTCCTCAATGAACCCAATAAGTCATGTCATTGGGAGAAAGTATAAAACTGGATTCTCTATGGATTATTTCCACAAAGGATCCTGCAAAGCAGCTGTCATGTTTTTAAGAATATGTAAAAAGAATTTATAAAAATAAAAATAATAAAATCAGTCTCTCAGTTTTAAGATAAAGGAACAGCAATCTATTAATCAGATTTAAATATGCAATTTGGTGATTAAAAGCTTTGATTTGGAGCTAATAGTCAGTTTTTAATTTATTTTTATTTTATGTGTATGAGTATTTTTGCGTGCATGTATGTAAGTGTACCCATGCAGAGGCCAGAAAGTGTTATAGAATCCCCTGGAACAGGAGTTACAGATGATTGTTAGCCACCATGTGGGTGCTGGGAACCGAACCTGGGTCCTCTACAAGAGCAGCCAGTGCTCTTAACCGCTGAGCCATTTCTCTAGCCCCCAAAAGTCCGTCTTAAAAGGATGTTACTATTCTTTTTGCTTGTTTGTTGGGAGTGGGGGTTATAGTTTGTTTGGGTTGGGGGTCTTTTGTTGTTTTCTTGTTGTTTTGAGACAATCCTGAACTCACTATGCAGACCAGGTTGACCTTTATCTCACAGAGATTCACCTGCCTCTGCCTCCTGAGTGCTGTGATTACAGGCATGTGCCACTATACCTGGTGCCTCTAGAATATTTTTTTAAATGGGGTTGCAAAGAGAGATTCAAAAGGCAGACTAGTACAGAACCATAATGCTGTGAAGAGTGTTGTGCTGGATAGCTTTAATGTCAACTTGACACACCTGGGTTGAGGGAGCCTCAGTTGGGGAATTGCCTCCATTGAACTGGCCTGTGGCCATGCCTGTGGGATATCTTGATTGTTGAGTGATGTGCAAGGGCCCAGCCCACTGTGGGTGGTGCCACCCCTGGGAAAGTGGGCCTGTGTTGCATAAGAAAGCAAGCTGAGCAGGGCCTGGGGAACAAGCCAGTACAGAGTTCCTCCATGGCCTGTGCTCCAGCTCCTGCCTCCAGGTTCCTGTCATGAGTTCCTACCTTGGGCTCCCTAATGAACTGTGACCTGGGAGATGTAAGATAAAATAAACTCTTTCCTCCCCAAGTTGGTATTGATTGGAGTATTTTGTGATAGCAATGGAGAAACAAATTAGGACAAGCGTATTCTATCAGTTGGGATTATGGGTAAATTAAATGAACCAAATGTTGTGTGAAAAATGTCTTTGTATTGATCTTCATGAGAATTAATGAACTTTCATGTGTGTTCTTAAACTACTCCATGAAATGGACCTCAAAGAATGATGCTTATCTACTGTGTGTCATCCCAATGCCAAAATCCTTGTGAACAAATTAACAAAAGTTGTAATAGAAAGTTAGAAACCTATCCTTGTACAGACATTCACTAGAAACATAGGTAATTTATTTTCCCTTAGAAAGATTTGAAAACAAATTGTCAGGGTTTCACTGTGATGTACTCCTGACTTCAACTGAGCAAAAACATACTGCGCTGAACAGCATAGCCCAAATAGAGTGCGGGAGAGCAGGCCAGAAACTGTAATCATGCCATAAGAAAATAGAGAAAAATAAACTCATAATGCACATGACCAATGATGCAGAAATTCAAAAAATAAATGAGAACAGGCTTCACAAACAAAACTTTACTCATAATAATTATTATTTCAAAATAAATGCTCAAGTAAACTAACATCTTTGTTGTCCTAAAAGCTATTAATTAGTTAACAGGAACTTTCATTTTCCAAACTTCACATTTTCAAATATTAAGACAATATTAAGGCAAAACAGACAAAGGAATGTTCCTGCTTCATGGGGTGGGGATGGGGGGAATAAGCTTCCAATTTAGTTTTGAGACATTTAGTGACTTTCTCCTATGCCAAGCACTTCATAATTCAAGTGCTAAAGTAGCAACTGAGATCTGCAATTGCTAAATCTACAGGCTTTTCTCTATTTAAACCACCTCTGAGTTTTAGTTTCCCTTAAATTTTAAGAAGTACACAGTTTCCTTTTCTCTGTATCATGTTAAGATCCTGCCTGATCTAGTAATTCCCACAATACTGGGAAGTCATTTGTAGAATGTGAGCTGCATATCATGCTCTTAAATTTACTTTACAAACAGGAATACAAATAATCACCTTCTACAGGTGTAATCACCTTCTACAAGCTGCAGAAAGTCTCCATAATTGGTTTTCAATTTTATGTGTAAATACAGTCAAGATAGTCCTATAAGTGCTTTTCTGACACACTCATTATTTGACCTAGAAACACAAATCAGAGATTCACCACTATAGCTTACAAATTGAAAATTCAAAAATATTAAGGAGAAATTATTGATAGAGCAGACATTGACACAAGGCATGGCCTCACAGTTTTAATGTCTACAGCAAACAACACGTTTTTTCACACTTCCTCTACAGAATTCTAGCAAGAACTTAGCTTAGAAACACTAACCATAAATTAAGCTTGAAAAGTTTGTTACTCCTGAGAGACTTGCAGACTTGGTCTTAATAAGTTTGTTTTAATGAGACAGGGTCTCACTATGTAGCCCTAGCTGGTCTGGAACTCACTATGTAGACCAGGCTGGATTTTAACTCACAAAGATCCACCTACTCCTGCCTCCCAAAGGCTAGGATTAAAGATATGTGCCATCATGACTGACCTGATTTTAATCATTTTTATTTCATAACAAAACGAAACGAAAGAAAGGCAATAAGGTAGGACAGGTGGGGTTGTTTCAGGAAAATGGCTGAAAGAACACTGGTTATGGACATGGCAGAATTTCTTCAGATCCATAACCATCTAAAAGAAGAGACAAGTACTTACCCCAGCCTACCAAGATGAAGCCCCACAGGTATTTGGTGTCCGAAAAGAAAGACACAAAGATTAAGTTATGCAGGTAGAGACCTTCCACCAGGATCCAATAATAGTTTGTAGCCAAGAAATAAATAAACATCACAACAGCAATCTTGCACCCGACCTGTTACAAATAAACCAGAATTACATCATATTAGGACATTTCATTACATTGGATGCCAACCTGAGACCACTAAAAATAAGTTTCTGTTTCTCTTTTGACAATCTACTATGTCTTCTTGTACATTAGAAGGCTAATAATGTTGAAGAACCAGAACCAACTTATTTTCATATACAATTTTTCAGACTATAGACTTGATTCGGTTTCTAAGATAAGATTTTTTTCTTTAGAAATTAGCAGATTTCATAAATCTTTTCCTATTAGAAATAATACATAATCATCAGAAAAAATCAGAAATATAGAAAAACAAAAATATTAATGTTAGTCATGTTTCTAGCATGAATTTATTTCATTCTGGTCTTTTTATGCTGCTATTGCAGCAAAATAAATTATACCAAAAGTTAATTGTTGAACACAGCAAACATTTCACATTGTAGGAGTCTATGCCGTATGGATCTGCTGATCTGGGCTGGCATCAGTTCAACCTCACCAGACTCAAACACAGAGGTCTACCTTGCCCTCTGCATCACCACTTCCACTTTAAGTACAGTGAAAAGCAAGTCACAGGGCCTGGCCAGGATCATACAGCAGGAACCACAAAATCACAGGGAACAGCAGAGACACAGACCAGGCATTCATTCGGTCTGTTGAAAACATTAATCTATGATAAGTTCCAAATGGTGACCAACTTTGATCATCTTCACCCAATCAAATTAACTGAACTATTGTGTGACCCTAAATTTTAAGGCTGGGACATTTAAGAGAAGAATCAAGTGTCTTGGAATTTTACATTGGGATAGAATTTTGAGTGTAGAATAAGTGAACCGAATTTATCATGGGTTTTTAAATCCCAAGACTCTGGTTTTGCTGATGAGCTTTTGCTTTTCAAAATGGAGACCCACAGCAGCTGGTACGGTCCACACACCAAATGCATCTCAACCGTAGGTACTTTGCGGAATGTTCATTAAGAGCCCAAGTGAGTGATTAGACATAAGAAGATGGTCAAAATATTTTTCAGTATTCTAATTTAACTAATTTAAAGAAAAGGTGAAACAATCCAAAACAAGTTAAGAAATGCTGATGGACTATGAAATTGCATTTGTTTGTTTAAAAAAAAAAAGCTGCAGTGATGGCAAGTGGGGAGAACACTTACATACTGTGACTTGTCTGCTGGAGGTCCTCCGATGGGATTTTGCAGGTCATCCTGCATTGCCAAAGACTGCAGTGCCTCTATTCCAAGGTGAGCCTGCGCCACCCTGTCCTTGACAAAGATGCTTACAGCTCTCAGCATAAAAGACACAAATAAGTGCAGGTGGATATAGTTCCTAGTGCAATGTAGTCGTCTATATAAAGAAAATATTCATTATTTAGATTGGATGAAAGGAACAGAAGAAGAAAATACTTCAGTGAGCCCAAACTCCACACCCCAAAAGAAAAACATGGACAGCTCAAAAAACAAGCTACTATTAGTCCAACAGGAACAACTTGGATCTAAAATTAAAATGCAAGTTCATGAGTATTAGTTTCAAATCTATTCTGATCACCTATATCCAAAGTTTGCAGTGTTATGCTGTATTATACTACAGTGCTTCAGTATACCATATATTGAAGTAATAAATTATTAATGAAGAACCACATTAAAAGAGGATTAATGTATGGGACTTTTTGGTGTTAAGTTTTTCTGCTACTAGATGCCTCTGTGTCTTTGAGCACTCTTCTCCCACCAGCTAGAATGTGTGACCCATCTTGCTATTATTCAAACTAGCACACATGTCAGTTTTCCTAGGCAGTCTCTCATAGCTGGTCAGTTTCAGACCAGCACCATGGTGCTCCCAACACTTTATAGAAATCTATATGACATTTGGAATCCATCAATGAGTCAATTATTACATGTTGGGTAAAAGAACTAGGAAATCAGAAAAGAAATTCTGAGTTCTCAACTAACCCGTGCTTCTCTTGATGCAAACATGGGTTTGGAATGCTCTGAGCCTGACTCTGCTTTGCTTACTTTTTTTTTTTTCTTTTTGACTTTTTGAGACAAGGTCTCCCTGTAGCCCCAGCTGGCCTGGAACTCCCTATATAAACCAGACTGGCCTTGAACTCTGACTACTGACTCTACTAGAGATCTGACTACTTCTGCCTCCCAAATTCTGTGATTAAAGGCATACTCTACCATGCCCAACTGATTACATCTTTTTAATATTCAGGTATCATTTGGATCTCACTTCATTCACCTTTTCTGCCCTCCCAAATCGCTACACATTTCATAAGGTGCAAACCACAGTGTGCTACCTCAGAGCACGTCTCAGCTGTTCACTAATTTCGTCAGTTCCTGGTCTCCCAACCCAACTCTGTGTGGTCAGTATACCCCATCCTCTAAGCGCTGTTCTTGGGTATATCTCAATCCTGATTATTACAAATTTGTGTTGATTTAGAAAATTATATAGAATTTTGTTAGTCACAAATTTAACACTGCTTTCTGTGTTTGTATCAAATAATATAAAACAGTCTTTTATCAATCAGCACCAAAATCATTTGAGAAAAATGGAATGAGTCACTCTGCCATGAAAGAAAACTTTTGTTAAACTCTACCCTGCACCACTTTCAAACAAACAAGCAAAACACCAGTTTATTAGTGTGCTAGATAGCTTTAGTGTCAACTTGACACACGTGGGTTGAGGGAGCCCCAGTTGGGAAATTGCCTCCATAGGACTGGCCTGTGGCCATGTCTGTGAGGCATCTTCTTAATTGTTGAGTGATGTGGGAGGGCCCAGCCCACTGTGGGTGGTGCCACCCCTGGGCAGGTGGGTCTGTGTTGCTTAAGAAAGCAGGTTGGGCATGGGCCAGGAGAGCAAGCCAGTAAGCAGAGTTCCTCCATGGCCTGTGCTCCAGCTCCTGCCTCCAGGTTCCTGCCCTGAGTTCCTACCTTGGGCTGCCTAATGAACTGTGACTCAGGAGATGTAAGATAAAATAAACCCTTTCCTACAGAGTGAGTTCCAGGCAGCTGGAGCTACAGGGAGACCCTGTTTCAAAAAGACCAAAAATAAATAAATAAATAATAAATAAATAAATAAATAAATAAATAACCCTTTCCTCCCCAAGTTGGTATGGTCAGAATGTTTTGTCACAACAATGGAGAAACAAATGAGAACAATTAGTTTAAAGGCTTCACAATGCTTTGATGCTTTCAATTTTTAAAGAAACAACAAAAAGAAGCTGGAGAAATGGCTCAGTGGTTAAGAGCACTAGCTGCTCTTGAAGAGGGCTGGGGTTCAATTCCCAGCACCCGCATGGGGGCTAACAACCATCTATAACTCCAGTTCCAGGGAATCCAGCACCCTCTTCTGCCTTCCATGGGCATTGCATGACACTGGTGCACTTACACATGCAGGCAATACACTCATACACATAAAATGAAAATAATAAAATATTTTTTAAAAAGAAACAACAAAAAATAAAATGAATCATCAAAGACAATAACAATAGGTTTTATTCAAAATCTTATACTGGCAAAAAGAGTGCTTGCCTACCATGCCTGAAGCCCTGAGTTCAATCTCTACCACTACATAAACCAGGTATGATGGTTCATACCTGTAATCTCAGCACTGGGGAGATGGCAGCAGGAGGATCAGGGCATCACCTTAGCTACACAGCCAGAGCTACATGAGATCCTGACTCAAAAAATATTTTGCTAGGAAAAAGTTGGGGGACATAGACTGTACACGTTGTATGTCTTCTATGATTAGTAATGAGAACAAGTCCCTTCTGGGAGCAAGTGACTCACTCACCTGAAGTAGCCAATGATGAGAATAGCCACAGCCAGGGAGCCAAAAGAGACGGAGTAGCCAACAGTGTACAGGACATACAGGCTTTCAAAGAACTCTTGCTGTAGGAGAAGAGACAGTCAACATATGTAAAAGGAAACTGGTTAAAAACAGAAATGCCTTTTCAGAATATTATTTCTAACGCTAACTTTTATGCGCAGCAATTTGCGAGCAATAAAATGTACAGGTCTAGAACGAGCTGCTTGACAGGTTTTGGCATACCAAGTTCATTTGTGTCCCTTGCTAGTCAAAAAGCCACCCACTATTCACCCCCACACAACCACTGCTCTAAGTCTCTGTCACCACAAATTAGCTTTTTCTTTTCACATACCTAATAGTCCTCCAGTCTGTTCTTAGACTTTAAAGAATTATAAAATAACATGCTCTTTTGTCAACAAACTACATTTAATAATCTTCAATATTGTCACACGTTCTATTACATACATTATTCTTTTTTAAAAGATTTATTTTAAAATGACAGATTCACAAAAACTGGAAAACAGTAAGATAGGTTCCATGCACTCTTCATCCAGTATCCTTTAATGGTTAGATCTAAAATAATTATACTAGAATATCAAAACCAAGAATTCAATATTAGTGCAATGTATTTATTTATAGTTCTATGTGACTTTATCACATGAATACATTTTTATAACCATCACTGAAATCAAGACACAGATACATTCCTCCTCACAAAAATCTACCGAGTGCTGCCTCTGCAGCCACATGTACCCTCTTCTTCCCCAGCATCCAACACCAGAGACTGAATCTGCTTTCCATCCTACAATTTTGTTATTTCATAGTGTTGTGGAAGGAAAATGAGACTTTAAAAGATTAATTATAATGCCCTTGAGATCCACCCAAGCTGTTCTATCAATAATTTGCTTTTTATTGCTGAACGGTTTTCCATGGTATGTGTATATTATATGAATATTATTATATTACAGTGAGTTTCTTATAGATGGTATGCAATTGTTTTTAGTGTTTGTTTGTTTGTTTGTTTTTGTTTTTTTGTTGGGATAGGCTCTCCCTGTAGCCCCAGCTGGCCTGGAACTTGCTGTGTAGAGATCTTGCAGAGACTCGCCTGCCTCTGCCTCCTGAGTGCTGGCATTAAGGGGCTGCTCCACCATGCCCAACCTAGAGGGTATACAGTTGGATCCTATTTTAATAAACTCAATCTGTTAGATTTTGCATTTATATCATTTATTTTTAACATAGCACTAATATATCAAGAATAAGTCTGTCACTTTATTTTTCAATGCACTATTTTCCTTTTCAATTTCTTGTGTGTTACTTGAACATTTTTAGAATTCATCTTATTGTTTTGTATAGTATTTTAAGTGGTTGTCCTAAGATTTGCATTATGTAGTTGAACGTGGAAGTGATAGAGCTGAATGAAGAAACTTTGATGACTGAATTCTTGTAAGTTCCTGATACTTTTGTCTTTTTGATAATAGAAATGCTAAAGATGTAAGATAGCTCTCATTGTGTTTTTCACATATATTTTTCTGATAAGTAAAATTGATCATTCTTCATACAGCTGTAGGCTATTTGCACGTTGCCTTTCAAGAAATGTCTATTCACATCTTTTGCCCATGAAATAATCGCATTATATTGAGTCTTCTTTGCTTCTTACATATTTTAATATATCCCCCTTTGAGGGGAGAAAGTGTCTTCACTACACAGGCCAGGCTGGCTTTGAATTCACAGTCTTCCTACCTCTGCTTCACTGGGATTACAGGTGTGCATCACCTAACAATATGCCAGAAAACTGATTAATTGTTATAGTGAATATTTTGAAGAATTTAAATTGTGCCTCGAATCAGTAATTTGTTAAATCCATCAGTATGAAAAATAGATAAGGCTTTTTTATAAGATAAGGAACCCCTGGCCCCATGTGGGTCTTCTGTGGGTCTGCATCAGACAGGAGAAAGCAGGCCACAGACTGGGGATAAAAGAAAAGAGAGGAGGAGAAAAGCTTTCAAACCAGCTTTTAACAGACAAGCTAGTGTACGGGATACAAAATATTCACTAGAACAATTACTTGTTTAGCAAAAGAGAATTTCCATTCAGATTTACTACTCCACATCTCCATGGCCAACTTTGGAGGTAAAACTATGAGATCAAAAGATATGGCCCTCCTAGTTTGAGCCCTGCGCCATTCCTAGTCTTGGGGCCCCAGACACCTGGGGAACCAATACTGCTCCCTGACCCTTCTCACCCAGAGCAACCCAGTCCCTTTCTTGGGCTCCAGGAGCACCACTTCTTGTCCTGGCCCCGCTCTCACCTCTCTCTGCTTCCCTGGGCCTGCACCACCGGCTAACTCTCCTAGCCTGCACTACTATCCTCAG